TATTTGAATAGTTCTTAAATAAAAGACAGTAACAAAACCAGTGGCCCTTTCAATATTATTAGTCAAAATAATGTTGCAAACAAATCTACTTATAATCAGCTTCTGGCCAGTTTTTCTTTTTTTGGAGTGTCCTATACAGTATTCCAAAGTGTTCAGACTAAAATGCACACTTAAATCTTATTGTGCATACTTCGTTATTCATATATAATTATGTTATATAACAGATGTTCTAATTTAGTTGTAAGCTGTTATCAGTCAGTATGGCATTGGCAACACGTAAGTAAAAATACTTTGAGAATAGGAGTTGGTAGTTTAAGCCACAGACCAGGCTAAGCACTAGATATTCAAGCCCACTGCATTTCTACTGTGTAGCTAACAGTAAAACTATTCTAAACATGACTGCAGAAAATGTTTTAAGTGTTCTACACTCAGATCCAAACACTCTGCATTCTATAGTTTTATTCTAAACTCAGAACAGAATTTCATTATATTCTGGCTTTTTTGAGGGGGTGCCTTTGAGTCAGTTTTTGACTCCTGATGACTGCCTGGACAAGTCCCTGCAGTTTTCTTAGCAAGGTTTTTCAGAAGTGGTTTGCCACTGCCTGCTTCCTAAGGCTGAGAGGGAGGGACTGGCCCAAGTCACAGCTGGCTTTGTGCCTCAGGCCAGACCAGAATTCATGATCTCCCAATTTTTAGCCTGATACCTTAATCACTACACCAAACTGATTTTTATCCTCTTTACAGAACTCTAAAATTTCACATTCCTCTAGCTCAATATTTCTCAACCTTAGCAACTTTCAAACAAGTGGACTTCAGCTCCCAGAATTCCCCAACCAGCATGGCTGGCTGGAGAATTCTGGGAGTTGAAGTGCACATGTCTTAAAGTTGCCAAGATTGAGAAATACTGCTTTAGCCACTGAAACAGCAGATTCCATTCTGCTCCACTTCAATTAGTCAAAGAGTATTGCAGTCAGTTAAACGTGTGGCCAGCAGTGGAGAACCACTGGGAATGTAGGTCTACTATTCTGGAAAACACGCCTTCAGATAAGATGTGCAAAACAGGCAGAGGTTTGTACTGTTTTATCAATTATTGTATTTGCTTCCTGAATACAGTGATCTGGCTATAGGGGCAGCTTTCTGGAAATAAACTTTCCAGATCAAGAACCAATCCATATCTGATCAAGTCCCAGAAGAACATTACATCCTAGTGAATATCAGAATGGCGTATTTTGTACATAATATATATATTCCCCAAATGCTTTGCTATGCAGCAATTAGGTTTCATAGCTTACAATACTCTTGCCACAAGTGTTCTGTGTTTTCTTTGGATTGGCAAATGCAAGAACTATTTCTAAATTACTCTGCAAGCAGAAGAATTGACTTAGATGCTTTTGGGTGCCCTACCTTCTAACACAGCCTGAAAAGACCCCCGTTCTGACATCAGAATTAAGCTTCCCCCTCTAGTTTCACAACGAACACCTGCTCCTCCTAAAAGACAGATTTAACAATTCAGTTAAGCTTACTTGGTGCTTCAAATACCAAAACCAGCGTATCTGCATTGTCTTCTGCTCTCAGGGTGATTATGTCATCATTACCAGCACACTTGAGCACTTTGGACATACTAAGAAAGAAAAAAGAAATCCACATCTCACTATTTTGATATGATACTGCATTTTTTTCACAATATAGAGCATTAGGCATTGAACAAGTCAGTGTAAGCTGCCAGACTCAGCAGGCTGTTGTCTCAAGGGAAAGCAAAGAGAAATCCTGGGTCAAAATTCATTTAAAAAGCCTCCAGTGAACAAAGGCTGTCAGTTCCTGGCCATGTGCACTTATTTTCACACAAACCAAGCAGAAGCTTCCTTCTATACCCAAAGAGGGATTAGAAAACAGACTTTCCTTCGCACCTGCTTGGACCCTCAAGCCACAAACTTCGCAGCACAGAGTTTTGCTGCTTTCTGAAGATTTTTTTTTTTTTTGAAACATGGTAACCAATTATGGTATTTTCCTTGGTTTGGGTGCTCTAAGGTTGGTGGTACCAGACTTCCCTCATGTCCTCCATCAAGCAGACATCACTTTAAAATCAAATATTGTCCAGCCTTTTAAGTGTCTTGTTTACTTTTTTATTTTGGAGTGTTTTCACAACAGTAGTCATTGAAACTTTAATGTGTTGTGACCTTGTACATTTTCTGCTGCTTTTTCCTTGTCCATCGACAGACTTGATAGCCTACATTTATCTGATTTAATTTATTTCCTGATTCTAGTAATCGGCTTCCATCCAGCCTCTTCATTTGTACAATCACTGAAATCTGGAGATCACACGACTCATAAATTTCTAGGGTGAAATTCAGAAAGCATGTCATTGTTGATTCTATATTATCACTAGCCTATATTCTTAACAATAAAAGTTTGCTGGAAAAATATTGCAATTAAAAAACTAGCTCACTTTTTGGCAGTTTTTCTCTGTAGTTTTTGTCCTGGATGCCAAGAAGGTTAAACAGCTTGTGCGTGTCCCCCTTTCCAATGGCCCGGGCGCTCTTCTGCCTGTTCTGATACCTGCCAACCCTAAGCGGGGCCCGCCCGGCATGTGCAGGGATTGCAATAACCTGCAAAAGCCGTGGCTGCATGGAGGCCACGCCATCACACGTTCCCCACGCCCTTCCCTGGAACACAAGGGACGCCGTCGCCCAAGGCCTGGGAACCCCAACACCAGCTGCAAAATGACAGCCGGGGCCAGGCAAGCCTGGGAGGCGGCATCGCACCCCGTCTTGTGCGTGGGTTCGCGAACGGCCTCTCCCACCACGGAGGAAGCCCGCTGGACAAGACGAGGCTCCGTCCCGGCGGCCGGAGGGACGCCTGGACGCGCCCCCCTTTCCTTTTGCAAATGCAAGAGCCGCCATGCCGCCTCGCGGAGCATCTGGACGATCCCGCGCCAAAAGGCAAGCCACACCCCGAAGGCGAGGGCGACCAATCAGGCGGGAGCCCGACTAAGCCGAAAGGCCGGCGCAGCCAATCCGCTTCCAGAACTGAACGGAAGGACAAAAGAGCGCGAGACCAGCTTGACACTCGGCGGCCCCGCCCCCCGCGCTTCCCGCCACGGCGCGCGAACGGGGTTGGCCGTGACGTCACAAAGGCGCGACCGGTGCCGTCGCCCGGGCAGCGGCGCCCCCGCCTCTCCTTGCGCCTGAGGCGAATTCGCGCTTTTCCCGCCCGCCGGGCTCACATTACCCCCCTACCGCGCTCGCTCGGCCGCTACCTGACGAGGTTGACGCCCATGGCGATGTTGCGGTCGCAGCGGTAGGTGTCGAAGCCCTCAGAGCGCATGGTGAGCTGCACCAGTGAGACGTGCGAGGAGTCCATGCTCTGCAGGCTGATGCCGCCCGAGCCCAGGTCCCAGCAGGCCTCAGTGATGAGGTCCTTGAGAGCCTCCAGGACCTTCTTCAGCAGCGAGCCCTGGATCAGCCGCGCCTCGAACATGGTGGCGGCGAGAGCGGGAAACTGTTTTCGCGCGACCAGCCGCCCTGCCTCTTATAGCGCCCGAAGAGCGGCGCCCCGCCCCTGGCCTGAGCCTTACTCAGAGCGCGTGCGCGCGAGGGTGACGTCGCCCTCTTTCTCCGCCCCTAAAGAGGCTGGGCCGCAACTGATTACCGGAAGAGCCAATCAAAACGGGGTTTCGCTCCTGTCTCCGCTCCACGCGGGTCTCGGCGTTCCTGCCGGCCAATCAGAGCGCAAGGAAGGAACGTGCTGTTTCCCCGCTTCTGCGACGGCTTTGCCTGGACTTGCTCGCTTGGCGGGGGATGCCGCATCCTTTTCCAACCTGGCGCCCGCTGGAGGTGATGGGAAAGAAACGCCATTAGCCTCCCCAATCACGACCAGGGGCTGTGAGGAGGGATGTGCAGTACCCTGGGCCTGGACGGGTGTTGACGTTTCTTCCCAAACGTAGATACTTTTCACCTGCGCTCGAAGGATGGCCTTTGACCTGAGGATTATAGGACCTGAAGTCCAGCTCGGTGGGAGGGAGCTGGGTTGGGAAAGACTGTGCAAAGTGCTGTTCGCGGAGCTCTTCCTGCAAGACCCAGCTGCGTTCTTGTTATTTTATGGATGCAGCGTGTATTAAAAAAACACGTTTATTAGCCTTTCTTTTAAAAAAAGCTTCATTAATTTTATAAATTATATATATATTTATTTTATAAATAAATAAAAGGCAAATTTCCCATAGGCATGAAAGCCGGTTGGGTGACTTTGGGCCATTCCCTCTCTTGCAGACCAACCCACTTCACAGGGTGGTTGTTGTGGGGAAAATAGGAGGTATGTTCACTGCTGTATTGTCATTATCTATAAGATCTAGCTATGTGGGCTAGGAATTACGTGGTTCTGATTAGAACTGCTGGTTAGAATGGGGGCTGAAAAGTAGCAGTGAATCAAGAAGTGTCCCGTGGCGATGGAAAACAGCATATCTGCTCTGGAGGCCATTAGGAAAGCAATCCAAACTAATTGCCTGTGTTATTAATCCAGCATTTTACGGAGGGGTGCGCATCAGAGACGTGCTTACTTGGCAGTGACGGGAAGGGTCGCATGTACCTAACTTCGATCTCATATATACTTAACTATGATCAATGGTCCAAATTTAAGAAAAGCATACAAACACCACCATCTGATGGCACATTTTAACCCTAACAACCCAGAGCTTAGCCACAGTGCTGGTAATGCTCGTATTAGAAATTAGAAGCTTTCTGTAATAAAGGTCTCTTCATCCTGCATACGCTCACAGAAGTGGTAAAATAAGTGAATTCTGAACATCTCTATAGAAATTGCAGTATAGCAGTACACGGACAATAGTTACAGTCTCTTCCAAACCACAAGGGCAAACTGGTTTGGATGAAAGGATTTTGGAATGTCTTCCCGGTAGAAGGGCTGATGGTAACACATCATGCCGTGCCCAAAAGAAGTCCTTAACCTGGTGGATTTGAGAGGAGTTAAATATTTGGCTGGCATCCAAGATCCCCTTGAAATCTGGGTTCTGCTATTCATGGCATCCAACTGACCTCTGGCTGGCACTGTACATCATCCATCCTTTGAAAGAATACATGCCTGGCCTTTCTATAACTCAGGCTAAGAAGGAACCTGGCTGAGAGTCCAAAAGATGAACATTGCCCTGTTGTTGTTGTTGAAATGTGTATGCCACCCATCTCCCCCAGAGGGTGACTGGGTGGTTCGCTGTCCCTCCAGCTTGACAGAATGGTTTTCTGCCAATACGAGGGGTAACAGGCCAGTGGGGAAGATAACTCATCATCAGCCCCCGGGTCATAACCACTCTTTTATGCATACCTGCTTCAGGTCTAAGAGTGGTATTGGCTATACATCTTGGGGCAGCAGGAATAGCTCTCAAAACTTCATTTGCATCACTTCTGTTGTGCTCTGTATCAGATGTGAGCAAATGTTTTGGTGCTAAAAAGTTGCAGGACTAACTTCGCCCTTAGGGAAAAAGAAGTGTCTGATGCCACAGAGAGGCATAATCATGATGTTCTTTCCATGATGTTTTGCCAGCTAAAACCCCTCCAAGGTATGAAGGTGAACCTTCATACACTTCCAAGGTGTGAACCTGCCCGGTTTATAATCCAGGTTTCCTCTTTCCTGAAGGCCACGGTTTTGGATTTTTGATAGTTGAGCATGAGCCTACTTTGCCTGCTAAAGAAATTGTCAGATTTTACTACTCTTCTGAGCACAGCTGGAGTTTGGGAAATACAATGGCAGCTTCCCCTATTTCTGAGACTGGGGCCTATGTTTCAAGTTCTCAAAAAAGATCTCAGAAAAGCTAAGCGGGGCCGGAGCTGGTAGTACGTGGATGGGAGAGCTCAGGAACCCCCAGGGCTGAGGCTAGAGGGGGAAGAAAGACACATCCTGGAGGAAGCTGGGGGGAACCCAGGAAACAACACAAACCCACCCATGAAGTGCCAAGGAGTCAAGGGAAATGATACCTCGACTGCACAGCTGCTCTTCTCATGCCGTGTGCGATACTGACTGCTGCGCCTCAAAAATAACACGGCAGGGCTGGAAAAGTGCAGGAAAGATGAATGAAAACAATAAGAGTAGAGCATCTCCCATACGAGTAAAGGTCATGACACCAGCAGGGTTTTTAAATGTAAAGGAAGTGAGAGGCAAAGGATTGATTGTATAACATTAATGCATTTGGGGGAGAAATTGTATGGGGTGAAATTTCTCCATAATGCTAGAACACGGTCATCAGAATGGCATCCGTTCAGGGTCAACAAAATGACACTACCCTGAGTAGGTTCACATATCAATGGTTTCTTTATGATTTAATGACTAAACCCCAACTGGTAGGCTTTGCGCAGTACCCCAAGCCATAAGCTATGGTTTGCCAAAAGAAACATGTCTTTTCTGGAAAGTTTGAATCAGAAAATGTTCGTGAGCAAATAAGTAAGGTTTGAATTTGCACATTCATCTCAATATTCATTGGCTATGGAGGCATCTGGAATAAGCCATGATTTTGTCAGAACGATGAGTCCTATGATGCCATAATGCAAGTTGCTCCCCTTCTGTATTGTGTGTGGCGGTGTGATGCACATTCAAAACGGCAGAATTTGCATTGCAAGGCTGCAACGCACCCCAATGCATCATGGATGGTCATGATAGACTGCAGCAGACAGACGACGTTATTCAATGTGCGGGAAAAATTGTTCTTTTATGAGTTTTGAGCATTACCTGCAAAAGAAACTAAATGCTCTGATATGTGGGGAAATTATTTTTTGAAAGACGGAAATAATGTTGGGCAATAGGTAATACATTTATATGCCCTTCCCCGATACTTTTAGCTTGTCAAATTTAGGGCAACCTGCTGAAAAACAGAGACGATAGGATGTTGAAATGGCGCAATTTGCCTGAAAAGGAAGATTTTGACTCTGAAAAATGTTCCAAACCACAATGCACAGCATACGTCACTAAACGTGGCAGGGGGTGATGTGTTGGACAACCCCAGCCGATGCGAGATTTGCAGGCATCGATACGCTGCGCAAACCCGGGTCGCTCGCTGGGCTGCCAACCCACCAGCGCAGCTTATTATCCAATCTTTCTGCGGTTGTGTTTCAAACAGGCTCGGATGGCTTCAAACCATGGTTTCTGCTCCGTGTACAATGCAGAGCCAGCCAATCTGAGACCATTCAATAAACTGTGGTTAGCAATCAGACTCGGCCGTCGCGCCCAACTTCAGAGAAGCAGGTTCTCAGCCGCGCAGGCTAAAGACCCAGATTAAAATAGCGCCAGATGGCCGCATTCAGATGTTCCTCTGCTCGGAAACAAAACGGGAGGGAGAGAAGGCGCTGCTGCGCGACCTCTGCAATGTAGAGCAGGGTTCCGCCACCGCGGCAACTTTAAGATGGGTGGACTTCAACTCCCAGACTGCCCCAGGGAGGGGGGCTGGCGGGGGAATTCTGGGAGTTGAAGTCCACCCATCTTAAAGTTGCCGCGGTGGCGGAACCCTGATGTAGAGCCGAGGCGCGCAACGGCCAGCGACGCCCGATGTCTGCCAGCAGGGGGCAGGGGACGTGCGGCCACCCAGCCGGGGGCGTCAGAAGGGGCGGGGCTTGGCGTGCGGGGCTTAAGAACATAGACTTAAAAAAGAAGAGTCGGGCGGCGGAGTTCTCGGGGCGGTGGGTGGCGTCGCTCGCCTGCCATGCAGAAACGACGGAGCGACCTTCTCTAGCATGGGCGCTGCGGGGCCGCCCAACAGCTTGCGCTTGAGCACGCGGGTGGTTTTCCAGCTCGCCCGCACATGCAAGAGGGCTGCGCGTGCGGGGCTGTGCGGGATGCGCCCCGAGAGAGGCCCGGCAGGCTGGCCTTTGCTGCAGCTTGGAAGGTATTTTGCATGGGGGAAAACTGGCTGGACCCCGAACCGACCCCAGCCCCGCCTCGACTGTTGCAGCGGGGACGGCACGGCAGTGGCCCGAAATGAATCAATGCTCGTGACCTTCGCGGGGCTCTTTGCGAGCATTGGGAAGAGAAGGACTGAACGGGAGCTTCAAAACGCAGTCGCGGCTTTGCATGGCTGGGGAATTCTGGGAGTTGAAGTCCACTTGTCTTAAAGCTGCCAAGTTTGACAGACACTGCTCATGCTGTGGCGTGGCTCGATTTAAATGCACAAGCGGCGGCTGGATCGACGGCTTGACCCGGGGAAAGCCAGCCCCTTCACTCGGCAAGCCCACCCGGGGCGGAAAGCCTTGCACGCCGCCCTCGCCCCCCGCCCGAATCATCCCGAGGGGCGCTGCGCTGCGCCCTCCCTCGCTCCCTCGCTGCGCTGCAGAGCCTGCGAACCGCGGGCCCCGCCCCCGGGTCATCTGCCCCGGGATTGGCTCGTCCCCC